CCTGCTGGGGTCCCGCCCTGCCCTTCAGCGCCCACAGCAGCTGCACCAGCACCTGCCCGTTCACACGCTGGTTCCGGCTCAGGCTGCGCCACAGCTCGGCGGCGGCCCTGGGGGCACGGGGTTCATGAGACTGGGTCCCTGCTGGTGTACCAGGTCAGGGTGGGGGTGGCCACTGAGACTCCAGCAGGGGAGGAGCTGGTAAACCATCCCGCCCCCCGCATGCACCCCCAATTCCAGAGGAACAAGGTCAGTGGCATCTGTGTAGGCCGTTCGCAGCCGGGTGGGCGGGAGCAGCTTGAACCCTGTCCCGCAGCGACAGAGAGACACCAGCACCACAAGCACCCACATAGCCCTGGCGGGGGCTCAGGGGTGGAGCATCATCCCGTCCAGTAACCAGTAAAAGAGTTGAGGGTTCGATTCTGGGTCAGGGTACATACCTAGGTTGTGGGTTCTGTCCCTGGCAACCAATCAATGCTTCTCTTTCCCACTGATGTTTCTCTCTCCCTCTCTCTCTCTCTTTCTCGTCTATAAACAACCTCGCGTGAGGATTTAAAAAACAACACTCCTGTGGAGACTTGTAACCAGATAACTTCTGGAGCCGATTAAACCAAAGAGCCAGGGGTGTTGGGCACAGAAGGCACTCAGCTGGCTGGCCCCCCGCCCCAGGCTGGGCCCAGGGGCGACCAGGAGAGAAAATCCAGGCCCCAAGCCAGGAACCCAGTGCCCAGGTCCGAGGGGGATGGGTAGGAGGTCCGGCCCCATCACAACCTGCCCCCTGGGGCCAGACTCCACCGACAGGTGAGGAGGAGGAGGAAGCTGCGTGGGGACAGGCATGGGCTGCAGCCCTGGCGAGTGGGCGGGGCGGGAGTTACCGGTCCGGGGGCAGTGAGCAGGGCAGCAGCGCGCCCACCACGTCCCGAGCGTGCTCCAGGGCCAGCGAGCTCAGCACCCGCAAGGCCGCTCGCCGGGGCCTCCCCTCGGCCAGGCTGGGCACCTGAGCCAGCAGCCCCAGCACCAGGGCGTGCACCTGGCGTGGAGAGGCAGGTGTCAGTGACCCTGGATGGACGTCCCCTCTGCCTCTCCTACCCCCACCCCTCGAGGGGACCAGGCAGGAGCCTTGGGGGCAGGAAGGGCTGGGGCTCACCTGGTCCTCCAGCCGCTGCCCCCGGGCTTCCAGGGCTGAGGATAGAGTGAGCGCTGTCGCCTGTGTCCCTGAAAGGCCAGCCTCTTCCAGGCAGGCCGCCATGTACAGCGCCAGGTCAGAGAGGGCCCCCTCCTCCCAGGAGCTCTGGGGGGCCTGGAGCGGGTGGGTGGGGTGTATGAAGTCCCCTTGCCTCTCCCAGTCCTCCCCCAACCCCCACCCCATGAAGTCCCTGCCCTCTTGTTCCTCAGAGCAGCTCCATGCCTGCCCCCAGCTGCCCCCCTATTCAGATCCCTGTCCCCCAGGCCACCCCCCAGCTTTCCTTCCCTCCCACTCACCTGATGGGCCCCCTCAGGGGCTGGCTCCTGCCCATGGGGAGGGGAGTGGGTCTCCCCGGCAGCTGTGGGGGTGGCTGCGACTACACCTCCAGGCTCTGCCTCAGGTTGGAGCTCAGGTTGGGGCTGAGGGCCCTGGGGAGGGGGTCCAGTGGGCTGCCCCTGGTTGGCCTGGATCCCCTCAGCCAGAGCTGTCAGGGTGAGGGCCCCCACAGGGCCTCCCCGGGGGCCTAAACTTTCCCTAAGCCCAATTGATTTGCTTGAGGTTTTGAGGTAGAAGCTGGGCAGAGGGGATGAAGTAGGTGGTGAAGGTCAGTTTTTCTTGCTAATTGTAGGGTTAGAGCCTCTTAGAACCACACACCCCCAGCCATGGCTGCCACACAGCCCTTCGCAGGCCCGGCCACAGCACCGGCCACGGGTCCTCCCCGGAAGTCATGCCTGAGCCTGACCTAGAAGCAGCTCTGGGCGGGCGGGGCGGGGAGGCGTGGTGGTGTGTGAGCCTCTGCTCCAAGTATGTAGGGGGTTGGGGAGCCACATAGGTGTCCCCGGGCTTGGTGCCCCTGGACAGACCCAGTGGCCGGCCTGGCCCACGGGTGGTGAGTGGCCTAAAGCCCTGGGCCCAGGGGAGGGACAGGACTCCCAGGAGGTGGTCCATCTGCAAGGGGAGGGCCAGAAGGACCCTTGACCCTGACCTCAAACCCCGCTGGGCAGGGGACCCTGGCAGGTGTGGACGCCCGAGGAGGCCCCAGCAGGTTCTAGCAGGCTGGGCCCAGCCCCGGGCTGAGTCAGGTCCAGGCTGAGTCACTGCATTCTGACCCACCTGGACATCCTGGGGGCAGGGTGACGAGAGCCGGCACCACCTCTGAGCTTGGGGCAGCCCTGGGGCAGAGCGCCCGGGGCCGGGGGAGCTGCACCTGCTGCCTCCCCAGCACCTCGCAGGGTGACCTTCAGGGCCCTGGACGGTGTGAGGTGCCCCTCCCCCCCGTGCTGGACCTTGGGGTTCCTGGGAAGTGAGCACACAGCCAAGAAGTGGTGGCTGGAGGGACCTGGTTCTGTGGCTGGTGTCTCCGACCCTCCACCGTCACCTTAGCCCAGCGACAGGGCAGGCATCGCCCAGGCTGACCCCGGAGCCGGAAGAGCTGGTTGGGCCAAATACCTGGCAGTGGAAGTGCTGGGGAAGCGCCCCAGGCAGCACGCCCCACGCCCTGGCCGCCCGCCCTGCACCTACTGCTGCTCAGACGGGAGGCCTGGGCCTTCCCTGTGTCCCGCAGCCCAGACCCTCCTCCTGTGCACTTACTTCGTGTTTTTCTTACACTTCTATTGATTCCGGAGAGGAAGAGAGAGGGAGAGAGAAACATCCACGATGAGAGAAAACCACTGATCAGCTGCCTCCCGCACGCCCCCCACTGGGGATCGAGCCGCAGCCCGGGCCTGTGCCCGGACGGCAATGGAACCACAACCGCCTGGTTTAGGGCGATGTGCTCAGCCACCGGGTCCCGCCGGC